CGATGTTGCATTCGAAAATATTTGACAATATTTACAATGGTTTACGGAGAATTAACTGCAGCTACTGTTACTTCATATAAATGACAAGCATATATTTATTCAGATTTTTAGCGATTTTAATTATAATATTCACTTAGCGACAGAAAGTAAGAAACTTTATATATCGTTAACATTTAAATAAAATTTGATATTTTAATAAATACACGTCTTATTGAATTAAGAGTATATATTATAATGAAGAAAATAACGCAATATTTGTATTGCAATATTGATTTATTTAGTGAATACGAAAAAATAAACAAGATAATACGAATAAGAAGGAATAATGAAAAATTAGAAACAATTAGAATAAAAGTAGAAAAATTAAATAATCATAAAAAATAAAATTAATATTTTCGTTGACAAAATACAAATTTGTATAGTATGTTAAGAAAGTTTAACATGTTTCTTAGCTTTTATCGATAAGTGTATCTCCAACGAAACAAGTTTATTGAATAAGTTCCTTATAAATATAAACATTTCTATAGTTTCAGCATAGTTAATTTAAAAATTCGGAACGTGTAAAAGTGATGCGTTCCGTAAACCCGGTATTAAAGTTCTGACCATTAGTGATTAGTATTAATACTATTTCTTTTGTGCTTATCGAACATGTTTTCACGATTGTTTATCTGATAAATGTGTAAATCCTAAATTATGCTGGTCAATTAACGCATGAACAGAAATAATGAGAATTTTGACATTGTTTTTCCTTACAGCCACAGATAACGTCCATAAGTGTCCAGACACTTAACAAATGGAAACGAATAACATACGATAACTGTTGCAACGTTGCGTAACAACTTCTTGAATAAAAATTAATTTTAGTCGCATGCTCTGTGTTTCGAAGTAGCTAGAGCTGGTTTGAAAATATTCTTCAATGATAAAAGACATTTTTAATTGTGTTTTGGCATTTTATAGCAGCCAGCATGAATGAGAATTAGCAAAAATATTTGTGCTATGCATGTTATTATATATATACGTTATAATTGATTCATTCTACAGCTTGCAATGATTGCAATATTTATTATGTTTAAAAATATTTGTTGTTATTGTTGAAATATTTCAAACAGAATTAACATAGCATTACTATAAATGCAGGGCAGAAGTTACTATAATAATTAGGGATCGAGTACAAATACGAAGGATTAAATTATTGTTTAAATTTGTATTCATCTATATTCCGAAACGAATACACGTATAATTGCGTTTTACAAACGTGTAATTACAATTTGCATTATTTCGCGGTTTAAATAAATCTGCATACGTGTCACTGCCTATTCATATAATCTTTAGTAAATTAATAACTTTCGGAAGAAACTGCCGCGTTTTCTTCAACACAATTAATACAAATTTTAACACTTTATTTACCGGAAGCCTACCAATAGTTTATTTAACGACTGAAACATGTTTAAGGGGAGCTCCTTATTATTATTTTAAATAATAACTTTAAAAGAACTTCTTACATTGTTTTAATTTAAATGATCTGTTCGATCATGCATGAGATTATTGTAGTTGTTGAAAGAAATTCTTAAATAGTCTTCGATTTTAGAAGAACTATTAGAAAACTGCCGGCGCGTAAAGTGTTAAGGTAAGCTTATTTTGAAAAAATTTGTTTCATATGCATCTCTGAAATCATCATGAGTCTCGCAATACTTTTCAACAATTATCATTTCCCACAAATCAATCCTCAGCAGCCTCGATAAGCAAGGCTGCAACTGATCGTCGAACGATATAAAGAAACGAACAATGAAACACGCGATCGAAACATAGAAACGAAACAGTTAATAATGGCAAACCACCATGATCAAAAGAAAGAAAAAGAAACTATGAACTCCTTTATGCATATGAGCAAACGATGAATAGAAATATCATAAACGCCCCCTGATTGTCGACCAAACAAAAGACCAAAATCTGTTATAGCTCAATATGGATGCATATTAAGTATTCTTTCGGATGCATTCGACCCGTAAAATTGTTAACTTTGTAATTTATATGTGATATCACTTTGATGAAAAGTTGCGGTGTAATGGTTCGATAAAATGGGAAAGCGGTAGTTAACAATATTATGAAAAAATATAGTTTCGCTCAGCAATAACTATTATGAGTATGCGGCGGATCTTTATGCAAAATAAATATTTTCAAAGACAATTGTATATAAGAAATAGAAATTAAATAAAAATATGTTAAGGAAGTCTTTCTTTTAATAATTTCGATAAGTTGAAAATGGTATCATAATGTTACTAAATATTTCTTACGTTCTCACAATTTTATATTTCAGCAACCCATTTTTGTTAGTAATGCATAAAATCTAATGTATAAAAATAACATTAAAATTTCCTTCACTAATACCAATACGGTATTAGTACCGAGAACAAAGTTTTGTCCCTTATAATCCCAGAGAAATTTCCTTCGTCAACCAAGAGATTCCTCATCCGAAAAATAAATTAACAATGCTATCAATCAACTAATTTACATTTCCCTTTACATGTCACGAAACTGCGCATGCTATAGGTGCATCGAGATTTGCAATCTAATCGCTGCGAATCAAAAGGTCAAAAATCGAAATCAAACAGATTTCTTCTAAGGATACATATATATATATATATATAGTTATATAAGTTATATATATATATACTATATAACTATATATAACTTATATAACTATATATACTATATAACTATATATATATGTACAAAGTTTAACACTTAAAATCTTTGAAATCATTCAAGATCACCAAGCACGAATTAAGAAAGGTTCTCAAAAGAGTTAAAAATTTGAAACACACTGAACTTCCTTTACTAATAAACTCTTTCTTTAGATTTCATTCGAGCAAACCTCTGATTCTTTCAACAAATACACACAAGCCATGAATCTTTATTAAATTGAAGATCTAAAAATCTTTCCACCTCTTAAAAGAATTTCTCCGAGACTCGAACGGCCAACACAAATAGCAAAGTCCTCGTACCGACCGCACAATGTCTCGGGTAATTTTTGGTCCCTGAGGAATGCAAACGAAACAAAAACCAACGTAACTGCCGCGATCGAGAGCGCAACGAATCGTGAAAGCAAACCACCCATAGCACAGTGGTCCCGAGGTCGGTAATTTTTGGCTAAAAGTCAGTTCTTTGACACACATGTTTCACGATATTTGTTTTCCTCTAAACTGACAACCCTTTGAAACCTTCAAGTCCAAAGTGTTAAGTTAGTATTAACACGTTCCGTGCCATGTGTACCATCGATGGTACATGCTTACATGTTTCTTTAATGCGTTAACAAAATAGTTTGTAGCAAATATAGAACCGAAGAATTAATTCCACCGCAAGAATGGGTCATGATAAGTTTGTTTTATTATTACATACGATGATTAATAATTACATATAATATATCAAGTTTTAGTAAAATATCAAATGGCCAGCGTGAAAAGTCGAGTAAAAACAACTCGGCATAGAACGTGTTAA